TTTCTTAGAAATTAGAAAATGTGTTCTGAACTTACAAAATCATATGTGAGATGTGGCAGGGACAAGAAAAATATGGACCCTTAATTTCAGATTACAGTATCTGCTGATGTTGGTCAGGCGGTATTACCTGATTACTGCAGCCCATCGCAGAACCACATTACAGAACCAAGAACCAGAACACGAAAAACGGAGCATTTCTATGGACTGTCGGCATACATAAAGTGAAGGTCTATGACCCTCCAAATTCCTATCAAGAGATTGAACTTTTCCTTTCAACGATTGACCTTTAAACCTCGAGCCATTGAACTTCATATGGCAACCCTGTGCAGCTTTTACCAAATCAACGGCAATCAATTCATTGGCATTACAGTATTAAGCTAAAAATAATAAAAAAATGAACCACTCTTGCATATGTTGACAATTAAAATAATGCATGAATAAAACAAAAATACAAATTAAAAACCTTAATCAATGTTTGCTTCAAACTATTCTAAGTTTAAATCAAGCTACAAATTTGACGCTGAATCAATACATAACTTCACATCTTGTGTTGGATTACTTTTAAGCATATACTACAAACGAAAGGAATATAAACATTCTTCTTTTATATAAAATAACTTTAAAATTATAAAATAACTATGAGGTCAAAATGTGTTTTCGAATCAAATATGGGCAATTCACAATACAGAGCACCACCATCAGAAAACTCCTTCTTTGTGAGGACAGCCCTTCGTATAGTGATTTATTTCGCTTTTGGGCAAGACTTGATTTCTGTCTATATGCAGTGTCATTTTAATCTGTAGTCTTTGTAGTTTGCCCGGAAATAAACAGATAAACCCTAGAGTGGCAATTTTTTCAAGTTTACAGTCAACAAGAGCATGACCACCTTGCTACCATTTGCATTTGAGTGAATGTCGGTAGACAACTTGGGGAAATTATTGATAGATTGGGACATTCCATGCAATGGAAAGAAAACAAGCTTTAATAGAAATGCAACTTGAAAAGCATTGGAAATAATTCAAGTTTCCTACCCACAGCCGATGAATAGATTTGTCGAGCATTTCCCACAATGCACTGTGAAAAATGACCTTTCCATAGCAACCTGTTGGTGACACACTATAACGTGAATTGCCTATATTTTATAAATTTTAAATGAAATTCTTTTTCTGTACACCTTGTACTTGCCATAGAAAACTTTATCAATATCTATCAATATCTTTTCAATTTAATTGAAAATTAATTTCATGGATGATTCTATTGATTTCAATTCCATAATCTCTTGATACATAAATAGTTACACACAAATTTTTTTTGATAATGAGAGTACTGGCTTGGTAAATGATGCAAGCCGGTGACAAATCAAAACAGTTAAAACACAGTATAGATAAAGGTATGGACCAAGGTACTCGTTGTTGGAGTGACAGAACCTTGAGTGAACTCATTAAATGACAGATCCCTTGAGTACAATCCGACGAGTACAGGCACGTAGCACTTTACTCAGGTACCAGTACAATTCAGTTGTTCTTAAGTATTACTCGAATAGTTACTCGATAATGGCCAAATCATTATCAAGGCTTAGGTATCAATGAGTATGATGAGTGTAATGCGAGTAATAGTATGATTCTTGGGTGTACTCGAGTTCACAGAGATGAGTATGTGCATGAATGTACAAAACCTGACCTCCAACAAGAGAAGGAGTGCAAATTGGTAAGCGAGTTTCTCGCGAGTATATTTGAACAAGTTCTCTTACTTTTACAGTACTCAGTTGTGTGTATTTCAAGCTTGAGAAAATTTTGGCTTCTGTAGCAAACCTGATATTTCAAACCAAAGAATTGTGTGTAAATTTATAAAGAAAGACAATACAAGGATCAAAAGTGACACCAAATGCCTTTGGAAATACTTTGGCAGAAATTAATTTCAGCTAAACATAAAAAAATCTCCAGCTCTAGGCAAGACCACTGCCTCCAAGTACCTGAGGTTTGAATTCTTAATCCAGTCCATTAGCCAGCTCGATAACATCACCGGTCTCGTCATCAATGATCAGGTCGTCAGGGATGGAATTGATGGCTCCCCCGGCCGCGCTCAGCTGGCGGAGTACCAGTTTCTTGTAGATGCCCTCCTTGTTGACCAGCTCATCGTGAGTCCCCTTCTCAGCTATTCGGCCGTGGCTGATCACCAAAACCTGTCGCCAAGAGTCAAACAGAGTTCAAGCTAAGTTATTCAATTAATTTCATCGACTGGATTATGCTGTAAGTTCCAAAATAGTAAGTAACCCCTCACTTGAACGACGGACAGGATAATCTGATGATCTGGTTCCAGATTTAGAACGTATCAATAGAGGGAAGAAGACAGTCTGCATGTTTTCTTGGCATTCTTCTATTAAATGAAGTCAGAAGTGGTTAGGTGTCAACTACCTGAGTGGCAATGTTGGCCTCTAAAGTTGTTCCTAAGGGAAGTCCTGGCTAAGTAACAAAGTGCCCTCTCTTGTTCAGGGAGAGCCAAGCACTTTAACACACTGAGCACCATACACATTAAACACAACGAGGCCTTGTTTCAGATTTGTACCCATTCAGATGAAAATTGGCCACTGGAACACAGTAACTACAAAACACACAAGCCACAGTTTACAGGCACTGTCCTTTCTCGTCTCTCTTTATAAGCCACACACACAGCTAAAAGTTTCCATACATGCTCCATGCAAGATAACAGATAAGTTCACAAGATTTCTTGGCTGAACAACCACCAACATACCTGAGATGCGTTCCTGACCGTGGACAGTCGATGTGCTATTATAAGCACTGTCCGTCCAACCATGGCTCTATCAATAGCTTCCTGTACGAGATGTTCGCTCTCAGCATCCAAGGCACTGGTAGCCTACAAAACAAGAAAAGCCAGTATCAAACTGCTACTCAGAAAACAAAATCAATTTTTCTTTAGAACACTAGCTAGCTTTGTTCTGATGTTTACTTTGCCCCACACAAAGGGACACAAAAGGTTTGTCAGTGTTGGAGTCGAGACCATTGGAAACCCTTTCACAAGTCCCTTCA